AACCCTATACCTTAAACCCTACACCCTAAACCCTAAACCCTTAAACCCTAAACCCTTAAACCCTAAACCCTTAAACCCTAGACCCTTAAACCCTAAACCCAAAACCCTAAACCCCTAAACCCTCAAACCCTTAAACCCCTAAACCCTCAACCCCTAAACCCTAAACCCTTAAACCCCAAACCCTAAAACCAAAAACCCTCAACCCCTAAACCCTAAACCCTTAAACCCCAAACCCTTAAACCCCTAAACCCTTAAACCCTAAACCCTAAACCCCAAAATCCAAACCCTACACCCTAAACCCTAAAACCCTTAAACCCCTAAACCCGGGTTTACAGGGGTCTAAGGATTCCGGTGCAGGGGGTCCAGGAGCTTCTGGCTTGGGGCTCACGAGCTAAGCTTCGGGATGGGATGTAGGGGTTTTTAAGTTTTGGGTTTAGGGCTTAGGGTTTAGGGCTTCGGGATGGGATGTAGGGGTTTTGAAGTTTGGGGTGAAATATAGGGACCTTAATGACTAGAATAGGGTTTTGGCGCCCATTCAACTACAATTCCAGTAAAGACCACCCAAAACAATTTAGGTTCATTGTTAAAACCCCTATAATAACAACATGTACAGCCAAAGACTTCCATTTGGGTCTCTTTAGATCCGGATATTTGTTGATCACCGATGTTTCGGGAAGCTTACCGAACAAATGACCAGAGCCCTAAACGTGAAAGATACTTGTTGGCAATGTTGCCACGGATTTCTTTCTAAACTTGGCAAAAAAGGGATTGTGTTTGCCTTCAGGTGCCCGGCAGCCTTAAACATAAATGGTAAGTCCGTCCAGAAGCATGGGCAAACCTTTACCCTAGACCAGAATTCGAACCACAAAACCACGGAAGCCCTACATCCTAAACCCTGAAAGGCTCGGAACCTACCACGCGAGACATACTCGAAACCCGGAATCTCCACCTAATCCCTAGAAGGTTGCACGATTACACTCGTCCACACCAACCGTGGAGCCTGGCTCACTGCAGAAGCCATGCCATGTGGGAGAGGGAAAACGCTCGTCCCAGTTCAAATGGTTTTAGGGTTGAGTTTAGGGTTTAGGGCCCAGTTTTTAGGGCTTGGGTCCTGGGGTATTGAACTTGTTCACTTCTCACTCTACTATGGGCAACTACGGCTTTGTTTTGCTATGATCTCCGTGTGCGAACGTCTGCTCTGTGGAGGACTGTGGGACTTCGCAAATGCGGGGTTTGGAAATTTGGGCTTAGGATTTAGGCGCTTCAGGTTACATGGATCCTTCTATCTTACTACTGCTATCTAGGACCTACATTAGGGGTCTCATTGCCCTCGACAACGCTGAGCAGCGAAAGCAACGAACGACGTGAATGCGCTCATCATGCAAAGCAGACTGTGATTGTCACCATGGCTTTTGAGGCTTACGATTTAGGATGTGGGGCCTTTCTGAAAACTTGGGGCTTTAGGACTTTGCCGGTATTTTAAACGAATCGGCTTAGGGAATGCAGGCTTTCGTAGCCAGTTGTTGCGTCGGGCATCTTGAGTTCAGAGTTCAGAGTGTAGTTACTCCGGAGTTTACAGTCTGTATAAGATCTCGTCGCCCATTGACCCTGGGCCACGAAGGGTTTTCCAACGTGAGGCCTGTTTGATGTACCTGTTGCTTCGCCGATCACTCGTGCGTGGGCCGACTCTCCAGAACACTCCGGGTTCAAACCGTGTACTGCGTCCCAATTTCACCGCAAATGATGTTTTGAAGAAGCAAGCGACTCGGAAACTACCCTGGCAGGACACCTCATCAGCAAGTAGGAAAACCAACGGAAACCACAAGCCTGCAAGCCGACCCGAAACCCCTTAAAGCCTTAAGACTCACACCTGAATCATGAAAAAACCACACTTTGGGAAGCCCCTCCTCATTCTGAACCCTGCAGCTGAACTACTCCTAAACCCATGGTCCAAATCATCAACACCACTGTAAACCTCAAGGAATATTTTTTGTTCCAGTGATTGGGCACGCGGCTCTGATTCCAGACGATTCTAGGTTTGATGCTTGGGTCTCAGGACAGGGCTTCAGTTCCAGGGGTTTGGGTTTTTAGGTTCAGGGCTTTGGGCTCAAAATGGCACGGTGTCTCAAGAGCACACGGTTGAGTCCACGTCTAGAGTATTCAGGTGTTTGGGGTTTAAGCGTTCAAGGTCAGTCGGGTTTAGGGCATACAAGGCTACCGAGAACTGGGTTCATGAGAAGAATGGCTGAGTTTATTGTTCAGTTACTACTCTCACCTACCTGGGAGCTTTGGACAAAGAGTCTTAAACCCAACCCTCGGTCTGGCTCACAAGTTTTCACGCTTACGGCATGTGCCAGCCATCGAGTCATCATGTTGACGTCCCGAGGTGCCTGAGCTTTCAAGTGAGTGTGTGTGTGTGTGTGTGTCCATGCAAGTGCGCACAAAAGCTTAAGCCCCTACACAACCCAAACCCTATAGACCCTAAACCCTAAACCCTAAACCCTAAACCACCCATGCCGAAATTTGGAGCAAGAACCTCGAATCCGAGAAGCTCAAGGCCTTTGAAACAGGAACCCTGGGCTGATCCGGTTTAGGGTTTAGGGTTTAGGGTTTAGGGTTAAGCCCCTGCTCCGCCGCAAACTTATACGGTATCCTAATCCTGGACCCCAAAACCCTGAACTCTAAAAACCCTAAATCATAAGCCCTAAACCCTGAACTCCAAACTCAAGCCAATACCCCCCCCCCGCCACAAAAAAAAGAAGCAACAACAGCTCACGGATTTCGTACTGAATGCCTTAGGTTCAGGGTTTGGGTTTCAGAGATGGGCTTTGCGGTTTAGGGTCCAGGGCTTTAGAGTTGAATTTTCATCGCTTAGGGGTTTAGAGTTGAGGGCTCAGGACTTACGGTTTAGAGTTGAAGGTTCGGGGGCTTAGGGTTTGCAAGTACGGGCTTAGTGCTCAGGGTTGATTGGAGTTGGGGGTTTAGGTTTTAGGGTTTAGGGTTTAGGGCTCCGACTTAGTAAGGGTCCATGCGCTGGGTTTCTTCGCTGCAAGCTTGCCAGAATAATGTAGGGACCTTAATAATTAGACTAGTTATAGTATAATGTACCCCAAACCCTATTCTAATTACCCCAAACCCTATTCTAATTATTAAGGTCCCTATATTACTTGCCGCACGTGTGGCCGGAAGGAAGCCGTCAGTGAGAGGGAGCATCGGAGCCTGGCCGGAAGCTTGCTCAAACCACAGGCAGCCAGGACGTCTAGAACCTGAACTTGCTTTCTTTTCGGTTATATAGCAACTAATCCAAAAGCCGTCGACATGGCGTAGAATTGCTGTCAATGAGATCGCAAAATGCTGACTCACATCTTAAGATATAACGATCGCTTATCTAAAGCCAGGAATCTACAAAACTATCCGCGTATTCAGGGGCGTCCGGCATGATGGGCAAAGCGGTCTTTGGCTTCGAAGGCAAAGCATGGCAGCTCGAACGCTCCTGCCTTTGTCTCGAAGTTCATATCCATCTGGGTCAGCTTTCGGATTCCGACTGGCATCTACATATAGCCGAACATGCCACTGCTATGCCAGTTGGCGGCACGAAACAGCCCAGCTGACCTCTGCAACTCGTCTTGGTCAAACGTTGCAGAGAGTACGCGTACATGTGTACGCACAGGCCACCGCCTCTTGACAAGCACTGGCAAGTTGATATTGAAGAGGCTGTTCCACACCTCGTTTATCTCTTTAGTCCAAATGCTCGCGGTCTCCACTTGGTTTATCTTGTGCACAAACTCCATGACGTCGGATAGCAGGAATTGCGGCTTGTTCTTGGCCTTCAGCCACGCTCTTAGGTCGCTTTCGATCCATGCGGAGTACAACCTTGCCTCAACTTGGTCATCCTTCGATCCGGAGGTCAGTACCAGGTTGAACGTGTGCGCGAAGTGCGCGCGGTGTCTTGGCACGCTGGCCTCTTTCGGGTTCTCCTGCGCGTGGACATCTGTCACGCTCACGGTAAGCGTGACACCAAGTCTTCCTGGCGGCTGTTTGATGAGCTCCATGGCAGCCTGCACCTCTTTCAGGAGAATGCTTTCCATTGCATTCGGTGTTCGGGGGAGTGTGAGGGTCGGGTCAAGGCTGCTGGAGCTGAACGTCCGCTGGGCAAACTTGTCTTCTGCAGTGAACTGACTTCCTAGAATACCCACGAAGGTTGACATAAGCTTGCAAGATCCCAGAGGGTACAAGCTCTCTGCTGGCTCCGGCATTGGTGGGACTCGGTGTGGCGATGTCTCAGCAAAGCTCCGGATTCTTTCTGAATCTTTGAAAGAGACCATCGTCAGCACCCCATGAAGAACTTCCTGCAACTTAGACTGCTCCAAGAGGTCCACAAGGCATCGGTGGAACTCTGCACCAAGTGTCGCTGAGCCTGTCTGAAAACCTACATCCACCGTTTGTGCTTTCGCCAGCAACCGTTTGGCCCGCTCTTTGGAAAGGCCACAAGCGTCTGCGAGCTCTTTCCTGGGTAGCAGGGCTGCGAGACCGAAGTAAACGCATGGTCACTTGTAGGATGTTTACAACTCACAGAATGCAACCTGCTGTTCACTAGCTCAAAGACATGGTCATGTCGGCATTTGCCTGGCGAAGGCCCAGCAGCTTAGCAAGCACATCGTGGTCAGGCTTAGAGCTCCCGGGTTGCTCGGCCGGGCCATCCTCCTTCGCGACACCACTCATGATGCCAGCACTTGTGGCGAGCTAGTATGCTGCTTCTTCCGAGCCTATGTTTCCCGTGGGTTTGGCGCAATGCTCAGACAATCGGCCAAACATGGTTGCGACTTTAGTCATCCAAACCCGGCATGTATCTTCCTCATTGCCCTGGCATCTCATCGCTGAGAGCCAGTTGTCGTCACACACGGATAAGTGGGCATAGGTGCGGTCGATGTCTCCACAGCACTGCGACGTCGAAACAAACCATGCTTTGTCATTGAAGTGGACACTGTGTGCTGTTGACCGTGCTCCTGGTTCAGCTGAAGAAGCTACTGCAAGGGTTTACATTAGAAGCCAGAAAGTTGGAACATCATTATCCTGGTACCCTTAAGGTGAAATATAAAAGATCCTAGCACCGATCATCCTAAATCCATGTTCCAACTTTCTGGGGTTCGCTGTAGGAGTGCCGGGAGGTGACAGCGGCAACGTTCAGCACTGAAGCAGAAAGACCTTTTCAACTGCACCCTAAACCCCAAGCCCTGAACCCTAAAGAGTCACAGCCGACAAGCTGATCTTAGGCCAAGACGGAAGACAGCTGGCAGTAGGAGGAATGCAGGGGCCTTAATAATTGCGGTGGGGTGTTGGGACATTTTTTGCGATAGTTCTAGCAAGGCACCCCCCAAAACAGTATCGGTAGTTATTAAGGCCTCTCTATTTCTCCCGAAGGTTCCCGACTGATCTTCCCCAAGCACTGTTCTACCTATTCTGGCACCCTCGACGTCTATATCTACATCCGGCAGAGCCCCCAGAGATCAAACTCGAAAATCGGAGACATACACATTCTCATTTGTAACTACATGTAACCGAAACAGAATCCATGCCGGTCGGGGCCTCTCAGACAGATTCTCCGGGTTCATCCACGGTGTCGAAGAAATCCGAGATTGTCGGCCCCTGGGGTCGGATGCTAAGAAAACGCGCGATACAGACTTACCCCCCAATGTCGGGCTCCCAATAACACATACTTTGCCACAGAGCGCCCAGAGCTTTGAACAACACCACATGAAGAGCAAACTTATGCGTGCGAGCGGGGTCTTCGGCTGAGGGCCCTGAACCCTGGGGAATCCTACAAGGATAAAGGGACAGAATATCATTAGATATCTAAGTCTCTAGATTTTGTCAGGAACCTTTTCCAATATCCTTGGCCCCGCACACTTTTCAGACCTTATAATAACACCTGACCAAAGCCCCAAGCACTGCGGCGAATCCTGAAACCGCCATATTCAAGCCGAGACGGTAGTCATCTACGGGGGGCCTGTTTTTGAATAGATCTTCCAAAACCCCTCATTCAGGAATCCGCATAGACCACAATAGAACCCTTCAGGGATATTGGAAGATCTGAAGAAAAACCCTAACTTCCCAACCCCTAAACCCGAAAGCCCCCATAAGGGAAACCTCCTATCGAACCCGGAAGCCCTCAACGTTGGGAAACATATATTGAATACGAGCTGCTCAAACCGTTTGCCTGGGTTCCCTAAACCCTGCCTTTAAATGCCCTAAATCAGCAAACCCTTAAACCCTTTTGTCAAACAAAACCCCTTAAACCCTCAACATGAACTCTTGTGGAACCCCTTAATGTAGGGGCCTTGGTAAATAGAACAGGGTTTTGAGGTCGATTAAACTATAATTCCCATAAGGAACCCCAAAATATTATAGGTAATCATGAATTTTCATAAGGAACCCCAAAATAATATAGGTAATTATTAATTTTCATAAGGAGCCCCAAAATAATATAGGTAATCATTAATTTCCATAAGGTACCCCAAAATAATATAGGTAATCATTAGTTTTCAGAAGGAACCCCAAAATATTATAGGTAATCATTAATTTTCATAAGGAACCCCAAAATAGAATAGGCAGTTTTTAATTTTCAGAAGGAACAACAAAATAATATAGGCAATTATTAATTTTCAGAAGGAACAACAAAATAATATAGGTCATTATTAATTTGCATAAGGAACCCCAAAATAATATAGGTAGTTATTTAGGCCTCTACATTAAGTCCCTTGGACCCTTCGGGTATCTAAAGCTCGGAGCACCGGGCCTGCTCGCCGGGCTTCGGTGGCGAAGTCTGCTCGCTTCGACCTGCTTAAGGGTTTGAGGTTTAGGGTTTAAGGATTATAGGATTTAGGGTTTAAGATTTAAGGATCATAGGATTCAGGGGCTAAGGTTTCGAGTTCAAGGATTAGGATTTAGGGTTTAAGGTTTATAGGGTCTACGGACTAAGCTGTCAGGTTTAGGGATTCAAGTTTAGAAGGACTACCCATGTAACTCCATAATAGTTCCTTTTTGGGGTTAATATTCAAAATCCTATAAGGTAATCCCCAAAAGGAACTATTATGGGGCCATATGGGTAAATATTACTGCTTCTGGTTTGGCGGGCTTTGGGTTTTGCAACGACAAGGTGAGACCTCCTCCTGTGGGTGCTTGAGGGTTGAAGATTGTAGGGGCTTAAGGGTTTTGGGTTCAGAAAGATTTAGGGATCAAGGTTCAGTCAAAGTTTAAGGCTTAAGCGCTTGAGGGGTTTAGAGTGTAAGGTTTTATGGGGGTGAAGGGGTCCCCGTAATACTCCCTCTGTTCTCAGCGCATACATGTGTTTGGCTATGAGTTTGGATGGAAGCATGCATTTCGTTTAAACATCTGTTCAAACTTGAAACTCTTTGTCACATTGATTTGTTGGACCGATGGGTAAGCACAACCTAGGTCTTAGCAGGTGACTCGGGACACCTTTGTACCAACCTGGCGACGAATCTCCGAGAGATTGCCGGATGGTAGGCAAAGCATTTGCATATGAAAGCACCAGCCAAAGGATCCTAAGCGGAGCATTTTGCCCACAGGAGGTGCAAATTGTGTATCCCCGCCCGGTTGTAGGACTTGCTCCGCTCTGCATGCTTTGGCATTGAGGACTGGCTGCTACCATATCGGCTTCGATGCATTTCGAGCTGAATGGCTCCGAGGCGCTGTCGTGCAGAAAATGGCTCCCATCTTCCCTCAAGGAGTGCTCCAGCGAATCGTAATTTGCCCGGTGCTCGGCTGCAGACGATCTGCAGCCAGCTGGGGGAGGGATTATCACGGGAATCCACTCCCTACGCAACAGTCGTTCAGCTACCACAAGTAACAGGGTTTCTGTCCACAATTAACCGGTCGGGATACCTCTGCTTTTTGGGGGTCCACATTTGAACCTCTCCTAAACCCTACACCCCAAACCTCTGAGCCTATGCTGAGTTACAAAGCTCGGACCGTAGGACATGGTCTTGAGCCGAAGAAGGCCCGGAGCCTGCAGGTGTCGGAGAACTCTCGAGGGAGACCTCCGGCATTTTCGGGTCGGCACCTTCGAAAAGAGGGGCAATAGAGGATCCTCAGCCCATATAGTAGAAGAAGAAAAGCTGGAAACCCAATAGCCTCAATCCTTAAGAGTAATGTATAGGGAATCCCAGCACTATCTGTCCTTAATCCGGTTTCCAGCTTTTGGGGTTTACTATACACCTTTGTTTGGAGGCGGTGGTTTAGGATTTGGCGTGCGTCTCTAGATGACAACAGCAAAATCTCGGAGTCTGTCCATTTACTGGTACATTGTAACATTGGTCATGCTCAGGTGGCTATTGGCATTGATTGCCACCTCTTTTTCATGGCTCAGTTGTTCGCCTACCCGCTGGGAGAAAAATGCGGGATTGCTGGGGAGACCATGGTCACGCAAGGGCAGCTATGCCTGATTGTCCATTTGCACAGACTCTTCTAGAAAGTCAGAAGTCAGAAGCCCCATTATCGCGACAGCTTACATGAATCCACACCTCCCCCTTGAACTACCTAAACCATACCCTACACAGCCCCACAATCCGGAAGCCTGGCATCCTGTTAGCCGTATAAAGCTTCGAAGCCCGTTTCAACTCTGCGAATATGGGGGTCCTGCCGAATTGCGGCCTAGTTGTCCTCATGACTCCAGAAGAATATACCCCAATAGCCCTATCCCACGAGATTGCAGGAATGTAGGTATGTTAGACATCGCAGAGGGTGTCGCGCAATCCAGCCTCATTATTACAAACTAAAGCGCTTCACCAAGCCAACCCGAATCTAAATCCAGAGCCCTAACTCCAAAACGTCCTACTCCGAAATCAGGCAAAACCCAGGTCCTGAACTTCAAACATCTCTGTACAAAGGGTAAGCACAACCTGCACATGGCCACCCTAAACTTCCAAACCTTACATACTAACCCCCGAGTCCTAAACCCCTAAACCTTTGACCCCTAAACCCCTGAACCCTAAAGCCTAAAAGGCGCCATGAAAAAAAAACAAAACCGTTCCTCAACTCACCCCTAACCCCTAGACCCGAAACTCCAAAGCCCTCAACCCTAAACTCCAACGCCATAAACCCTAAACTCCAAAGCCCTAAACCCAAATTCCAAGCCTGGCGGGACGATCGGGGAGGAGCGCTCTGGCTGGGTGCCTCCTCCCGCGGCTCGATGGGCTCAGAGGTTTAGAGGGTTTATAGATGACGGCTTAGGGTTTAGGGTCTTAGGGGTTTTGGGGCTTAGAGTTTTAAGGCTTAGGGTTCAGGGATTAGGGTTTATGAGGGTTTAGGGTTTGGGGTGTTGGGTTTAGGGCTTAAGGGTATAGGGTTTCTAAAGTTTCTAGGGATTAAGGACGTAAAAGTTTCGGGTGCAGGGACTATTCAGGATTGATGAACGTGGATGGTTCGAGGTTGTAAGGGCCGCTGGGTGTTTTAGATTCTGTTACGTAGGGCTTTCAGGGCTTACCAGGCTTGTACAAGGGTGTAGGGGTGAGAGTTTGGGTGTAGGGGTGTGTAAATATGGTGGTGGTGTCCTGTTCTGCCCTAAACCCTAAACCCTAAATGCTAATGTAACGAACCCCATGGGTTGGAAGTGAGCTTATCGTCTCATCAATCTGAACACGCAGGAACACAAATCCCAGAGGAGAGCCCATGTTCGGGTCCCGGATGTTCCGCAGCCTTTG